GGTCACAAGAAGACAACTGGTACTTTCTCACCCTGTCAGTGTCCGAGTACCTCACCCGTTGTGGGTTTATCGTTGCCCCAGTTGCATCATAACCTCCGGCTGGGGTATCTTCTATATCCGGCAAGCTGACCATGGCATAAGATCACCAAATTATGCTACCGTCATCGCCGGGCGAGGTAACCGAATCTCCACACCCGTTCAGGAACGATACTTGTCTCGCACATGGCAAATCAGGTCAAGTGCTTTAACCTGTGGATGAAAAAAGAGAGGTAGTTCCAGGTTGTCATAGTACTTGCGGGTCGTTCCCTAGCTCGTCCCTGCCTGGACAGAAACGAGAAAAGAAGATCAGACGATATAATGCATCCCTTGCCCGCTGCTGTTCATTTTCCACTTTGATGTTTTGTTACCATATAATAGACCCAGCTAAGGAATCCAAGAAAAGGGACGGATCCCCATACTCTCGGCCAAGCTTAGGTGCCAGTGAGCTGTTAAAGAGCCTGCGCGGGCTGCCCCGAACTTGATTTTTATTTCTTTGGCTTACGGATATTCGCCGCCCTGCAAGACGATCTTACCTTAACACCACACAATCCTACAACGTCCCGCACCTGACCAACTAACTCACCGACGACTACTACTGCAACAGCATATGTACTCGGCTGCTGGGCAAGTAAGTGCTCAGCCTACTAATTATTCAACCCCAATCCGACAGGACGGGCATCATCATCGATCCCACGCGCGAGACTCGCCCTCCCAACTTACAACCGCCCGCACACCAGCAGCCCCGAGGGGCTCCAGTCCATCAAATTATTTCTATACAGACTCCGGCGACCGTCCAGAGCGGTTCGCTCTGGCGGAACCCATGCATCGACGGCACACTGGCGGGCAACTATCGAGTAGGACCGGACTACAATGTCGATTACTCTCCACAAGAATCGCATCCGGGCGAGCAGAGCCAGTCTCAACACGCATACGACACGCATCACCACAGAGGAAATCCAATGCAGCACGCGGGACACGGGAGTTTACATGAATCGGCGCAGTCGCACTCTCACCACACCATGTCGCAGCATCACCCCACCCATCACCACCAGATCCTAATGGATCCGGCGCATCTCGGCGGCCATCCGGCCGCTCGCCATATGGCTCATCAGCCTTCACACTACGGCCCAACACAGTCGCCTCACTCCGTGGTTGGTCCGCCGTTATACCCGGCTATGACGCCTACTCAGCCGCACAGTGCTGGGACGAAACGCAGTCGTCCAGACGACCTTGACTTATCCGGCGGAATGTCTGAACTTGAATCAGGCGATCTAGATAACATGCAGCAGTCTATGGGGGGTGCATATGCGCAGGCTGCCGGCGCAGCTCCAACTCACCATCATCACCGCTTACCAGATCAAGGGCCGCCTTCGAAGATGATGAGACGCGAAGGTGACGGAAGCATGGGGGCCGCTGGGGGTGGCGCTCCGAGCGTAGTGGGACAAGCCGGGATGCCACCGCCGGCACCGAGGCCAAGAGGGCCGAAGCTAAAGTTTACGCCAGAAGATGACGCACTGCTTATCGATCTGAAGGAAAATAAAAGCTTGACGTGGAAACAGATTGCCGACTTCTTCCCGGGGCGTTCCTCGGGTACGCTCCAAGTCCGGTATTGCACGAAGCTCAAAGCAAAGACGACTCAATGGACAGACGAAACAGTAAGTTCACCATGACTAACGTGCCCAATTTACGCGGATTTGCCGGCATGTGGATATTAATTACAAATTTACAGGACCAAAAGCTTCGGACGGCGCTTCAAGACTACGAAAACGAGAAGTGGCGCTTCGTTTCCAACAAAGTTGGCCCCGGGTTTACTCCTCAGGCTTGCCGAGAGCGGGCGGCGCAGCTTTCTGGAGAGGCGACGGATGTTGGGGAGGAAAACTTATAGCAATCAGCGTCCCCGCCAGGAGTTTCAGCTCCTGGGTCTGGGGACACCATCTATCCGCAGCAGCTTCAGGGTTGAGGTGTAACCAGAAGTGGACGCCACCATCACCGACACTCTGGTATCAGAGTGACAACAAGACGAACACGACCCAGCACCGTCGTCGAATACCATAATACGTTACTTTACATCGGAAGCCGTGAGTTAGGAATTAGCCATGAAATGTTGTCGACTCGGCAAAAGTAACGAAGAGAGGGGAATTCTACATGCCTCTACGACTAATTAACCTTACGGAATTACCGATCTAAAACGCGCGACGCATCAAGCATGTTTACAAACGCATATTTACTGTTATCACCAATGGAGTTACTGTACAACAAATAGTAATAGGCCAGGGTTTTGCCTTCTCCTGGTCTCCGGGGCGGGTAATTGCTTAATACTAGAGATACCAAACCACGACGAGCATGCCTTTTATTCGTAATATTGACACATTGACGACTAAAACCTAGAAATCATGGGGAAAGGGGAAGGGGTTGGGCGGTGGCTTTGAAGCTCGTTTGATTTTACAAAAATAACTCAAGTCAATACATTTACTACGCATGCGCTTCGAGATGACGAACGCTTCTACTTTACTTTGTCTTTTTTTTTTTTCGATCACCATCGCCATATCACTACGACGATAGTACCCTACCGAAGCAGGGGGCACGAGATTATACCTAACGGAAGGAAGACACTACAGATTACTTTTACGTTGACCGCAACTTGGCGGCAGGCTCGGGCAGATTGGGAAACGGGGATCCGAGAGAAGATCAACGGGTTGAGGAGTTGGCAGAAGATACCCACGGATTAAAAAAACCATACCAAAAGTACAACAGGGCACGAGAGGGAGAGAAAGAGAAAGAGATGTGCCTCACCGTACTTTTCGAGAAGCACACCTAACCATGCTAGGTAAACCGTTTCAGTCAAAAAACTTTTCTAGCCCCATTCAAATACATAGGAGCATAAACAGGAGAAGGCGCGGAACGAATCAGAGCCCAGGCTTACAGAAAGAGAAAGTCGATGACATCTAGGCGTGGGACTGCGAGAAAGGGAAAAAAAGGTTTGGACACCGGTGAAGGAGAGCTAGGGGATCGTGGGCGAAAACCAATGAGACACACCCCGAGGAAAGACAATCCGTACACGATATTTCATGACTAAACTACCTTCTCATCTATTTAGTACCTTAATAATAATTGCCAATTAGCCGCAAGGTCTTCGCGATATTCCCACTGCGAAGGTCACGTTCGCCATGTTTGAAACGTTCTAACAATGACATGCAGTGGTGGCGGCAATGGTGGTGGTAGTGGTGGTGGTTTTGTTGTCGAAACGGCCCGCATATCAGGTACTATCGTTTTTAGCATCGTTATTAGTATTGTTAGTATTAATCTCGACAAGGCCACGAAGTAGCACGCAGTAGATTTCGTACCGACTCGTGTTACATCGTGACGAGCTTACTGCGGAGCTTGCCCGTCGAATCCTGTCCCGATAAGGAACGAGAGAGTTCTAGGCGATGAATTGTTGTCATTGTTGTCTATAATACCAGCCACTTATTTGTGTGCACGGGATTTTTTTTTTGCCCCCCTCTCTCTGGAGACCCCCCCTGGAAAGATCTCGGGCGTGAAACATGAAGCGTGTTGTGGCTCTGTCTCTTTCTTCTCTTTCTCTTTCCAGTCTCTTCCTTCTTCTAACTCCGTAAAAGTAACCCCTTGCAACTAATGGATAATACCTAACATCTACATGCATGATATTCTACGCAATACACGCATTGCAATAGGCTTACAATTCACACGGGCTGTGCTGTGCTCCAGGGCCACGCGGTTTGTCCGTAGGTACCCCGGCGACAAGTTGATACTGTGCATAAAAAAGCGAAGTAAAGCCAGAGCAAAGCGGAGCGGGAAAATGAGGGAAGATGAGGCGGCGCATGCCATGGCTTTGCCTGTTTTTCCCATCGGCCTGCCAGATAACGCAGAAATACTTACCTACACACACACATACACACACATATATACACATATACACATATACATACATACAAGTAGCCTCGAGTTTTCGAAACTCGAAAGGGCACGACCCCTTAGATGGGTGTTATGGCCTGATTCCGGAAACCGGATTCACCGCCTTGCGGTCCGGCATTGTATGTCTGTACCGTATATAGGTATGTATATAGGTATGTATATACTTATATACTTACATAGACACATGCCACATGCCACATCCACATACGTATTACACATATATACGCGTAGTCGTGCGTGCAAAGGTCTCGACTTGCTCTCACACGCATAGCATAAGTACGGTAGACCGGTAGGTATACCATGTACAGTGCCTTCGAGCCGGAGATACAGTAACAGTAGCAGCCAACAGTAGCAGCCAACAACAAGGAAGAAAACGTGCAAAAAAAAAAAGAAGAAAAAAAAAGAAGGCTAGGTACCACGTTCTCTTGATCTGGGAACTTCGATCTACAGTGCTCTTCGAGAAAGCTGCACGCTAATCACGCCGGCTCTTGTTATTTCTGGGGTGGGTGTTAGGGGGGTTGGTTCCGAGGTTCGCCACCGAGACAGCAGATTGGCCCTGAGCAGCAGTTGTGTTAATTGTCTTGTGTGCGTCTGTGTGCCTGTGGTTTATGGTGTGTGTGGTGTATGGTGTGTGCGCTGTCATTGTCACATATAACACGGCTGCGATATAACCCCCAAATCCACTATCCCTAGTCTTCCCTGCGAGCATAGCTGCTGTTCTCTCGCCTTCTAATGGTTCCTTCCAATGGTTCAGCTTCCTGGCTTTCGGCTACCCCTGGCGCGCAACGATTGCGGAGACCGTGGGGAGTCGAGATGTTCGAATTCCTTCGTGCCGTTGGCCGGCCGTGGCGTGCGTGGTCTCATATAGATTCGAAACTTACACGTACTCGCACAGAATGCATTACGGAAGGTTCTCTTACACGCTACCGATAACATGCAACTCGACCTCATGTCCGTCTTTCCCCTCTAAAAGAAAAATGCCTCTTATAGAAGCTGTGTATGGCGGTGCTACTCTGACATCTACGAGCAATACTACCAACGCGGTAATATATCCTTCCGCCGTTAGGAGGTTGTTGTGCCTTAGCCTTAACTTGGGGTAATGCTCATCAGCTAGATTCGGCCGGGACCTCCTGATCTAGAATCCCGGCAGACGGCTAGTCAGGTGCTGACAAGTCTACAGTTGTTGACTCAAGTAACAGCTGTCTCGTCTTGCGGTGAGATTATGTCTCTTTTGCATATGGCGCCGCTCATTTCCCTGTTGGCGGGGACGAAGGCATATTATTCGTCTGCTATGCCCAGTGATATGTCGTACCGTGCTTCATCGCTTGTTCTGATACCCACGTGGTATCCTAGAAGCTATCTACAAGGGTACGCCATCAAGATTCCCGTAGCATTAGCCCTCATTTGGGATAAATATCCATGCCCAGGAATCCATCTCGGGAAAAGAGACGTTATTCCATGTTTTAATGGTTTATAGTTTGAGTCGGGTCGGATCGTATCATGCATGATATGATATAGTAAAAAACGAAATGGTATGACTTTTAGGAAGCTCTGTGAAGCCATAGTTGGTGTAATATGTTGACGGTTCGGTCGGCGTTTATCTCTCCAAGACGCGTAGGCGCAACAGCGTTGGTAGATCCCTGCTACTGCTGCCATTGTCGTTGCAGGATCTCCAAGACCTTTGCAGGCTTTGCAGCAACTTAAGCATGGCGACCACGATGGATGGTTGATTTACCCGTCGCGTACCGTGCCGCCCCGGCTGACAATGCTGACGTGGTTCTGCACAAGCTCTGCACAAGTGATATACGTTACCTAGTAATATATTCCAGCGGTGTGGGATCTCGTTTCAACTGCCGCCGGCCTTATAGTGAGGGGTCCTCGACGAGCGCCCCTGTTGCTGCAGCTTATAAAAGCTATCATTTACACGCTTAGGGGAATTTGGCTGCACGAAAGCCATGCTGCAATGTGAACATGGATGATAGCTAGGTCTAGCCTACCATTTCCATCCAGCCAGCGATTACCAGCCAGTCAGGTCTCGGCAATGCAGGCTGCAGTATGCGACGCATTCCCGCCGTGTCAATCGACTATCACACCTACCTTGGAGGATAATGCTTGGACGTGCTTGGATATGCTTGGATATGCTAGGGGATAGATAGTATTAGGGAACCGTATGGGGCTTATCGCTTCAGGCGTCGTCTCTATTTACAAGTTAGATTAGAGTTGAAAGCTCGGATCTCTTAGGGCCAATATGACAGAATCCCATTTGGTAGCGCACAGCAGATTCCGATCGATCCGGATCTGTCATTCAAATCGCGGCGCACGGAGGTCTGTTACCTAGTAGCCTTAGCATCTAGCTGTCATGGTCCCATCCACGGCTTTCGAGATTAAAAAGGCTGAGCAATGTCTCCATGATCGGCACGAGTCTAAAGACCGAGCCTTTCGGCCGTTTTAGGCTTGCTTTAAGCGTCACGCCATGCATGTATAATAGGTAGCAATGCTGTTTAATAGGTAGCTGAAGTCCTAACTTGAAAGGAGGCCAGGCTACAGGAATGAGATAATTGCTATATGTGTTTGCATAGAGCGTCTGAATATCGCCCGATTCCTTATCTAAAGTTGCTGTAAGTGCTTTGGCGAGTTGAGGCTGAAAATCAGATCTCCTCGTAAGGAAGTCTTTTCTGCTTGATTGGATGGTGATCCGTTCGCGGCTCCTGGCGAGAGCCCGGCTGGCCATGGAAATACTTCAAGATAAACCGTTCAACCTCCTCTTAGATTAAGAGGCCTGTCTAGACATTGTTTAATTGTGTTCATAAGACCAGATAAGACGTTGAACGACAGTATCCGCTCCGATCTGCACAACCAATCGGAGATTTCCATTAACATCGTCATATGCAAGACACTAATATCGTGTTGCAATGCTCAGATCTGATTGTCTGTGGTTATCGCGATGAGGTCCGTGTAGACTTAGCTTAATCAAAATCTCCGACTTCATATCCACAACGCAAATGCAGCATAGAGCCTGCTATAGAGACTAGGAGGCTTCTATAAACTTCAATTACACGAGGCTCGATTCCTGCAAGCGTGGTTGGGCGTATGTTTAACCAGCGCATCGAGATGGATGTCGTAGGCGTAGATGTCCCAATTCCCTAAGATATCTAGAATGTTATAAAAAAAATTTAGGCACCATCGGGGCTACGTAGAGTCAGTGTAAGGACGTAAGAGGATGCAAGTTTCTTTAGCATTAAAGAAACCATTGCAAGCTGACATACGCTCCGAAGGCCCTCGGGACGTGATCGCTGTATAACTTGTACGCGTCTAAAAGCGGTCAAACTAAGAGTTTACGCAACGATGATCTCAGACTTTAGTATAGAAGAGAATAGTACAAGGCTGTAGCATGGTCAGCCCCTTAGACAAGCTTGTACATTAGTGCTCGTCGGGCGAAAAGGGCGACAGGCCCTTCCGACTCTTGAGGCCTAACGAGCGAAAAGGGTGTTGTAAGACGAGGCGTAGTATCTGTTGTCTGCTGCCTAGCCTAGGCGCCTTATTAGTACCTATTCGTACTTGTACTTCTCTATGTAGTGAAGAACTGCGCCAGGGAATGGGGGGATATAATACGTATATTAAGTTTTCGACCCTGTCGTCGACGGCCTATATCGATCTCGTATTAATGAAACCTCCACGCCTCACCAAAAGGCAGGCTGTTTAGGTTCGATAACCCGCGGCCAGGTTAGCTCTTCCGGCTCCACGAATTACTCACGAAACCTCGCTTCCCTGACGGCTTGCAGGCAACGAGAGGGTTCTCGGCGACTCAGAAACTATCAGTCGTAGAAGAATGTGGTCCTCTGCAGCTGCGACCTGACAAATTCTCATTTCCGAGTTTATGCGATACCATGCGGTGAACAGCGGCCGGCCCCCATTGTCAGACACAGCCAAACAGGTTTGTTTGACGAGACAAAAGTCTGGGTGCATGAGTAGAAGACGAATGGGATCAAGCCGAGGCTTCCTTGCCAGGCCACGACTTCTGCCGCGCATCAGTTCCACCGGAGTACTTCCATCGCATAATTATCTCGGGGATAACCTGCCAAATTCGACAAAAGCTGTGGGTCTCTTCGTTTGGGGGCTTATTGTTGTGTGTGAGAAGGCAGCGTCATGCCATGATGCCATGATTACATAGTATATTTTCACACCCCTTATTGGCTTCCTCGGGTTTTCTGGGTGATAACAGTGGTGCCGATCTTTGTTATAGATCCTGGACTGACGTATCAAGAATTGGCCTAGAGTCGTGGTGGTAAGCCTTACAATTGAGATCAGTGCGAAGTTGTATTGAGAAGAAAGCATTCGAATAGAAGTTGCGCCTGTTAGAATATGTAGTTAGTTCCTCTCTAGCGTAGGTTAAGGTCTGGTCTTTAGCTAGTTAAACCTTATAAACTGTTACCTAACCTAGTATTTTTGTTCCTTCCGCATTGTTGTTACACTATTAGTGAATGATAAGTTATACCTGCCCTAGGTACGAACCGATTGTTCAGTCTATGTATCTTAAGAGTTTAAACCCAAAGTAATTTAATACGTGTAGCAAGAAGCTTGTCTCTCAGTACCTAAAGTATAGGAACTTGAGGCCTACTTAACCCTGCTTCAATGATCAAGTTTAAGACTCAGTCTTGTGACTCAAGCCAAAAGCCCCTATTATTTTGCGACATATAATAACGCAAATTAAACCACAACTATTGCACTATCACGAGTTTCTAGGCTCACATTGTAAAAAAGGTATAAGGCTTTACAGAACAATTTAATCCTAATTCATTTGCTTATTTCTTATACTTAAATCAACATTTCCTACATTTACGCTACCAATGTTGGTTAATGTAATGCCTCTAAACGCACTATTTTCAATGTGTATAGTCATGGGCTCCCATAGCTTAGTTAAATGCCCTCCACGGAAAAAACGAGTTTTTTCCATACTTTCTGATTTTATCTCGTGATGTAAACTGCTAGTACCTGAATTCCAAGTAGAGTCACTGTTTAAGTGCTTCATTTGCCATAATTCAAACTTACCTAGTGATAGAAACCCTTAGTTGCTACATAGCAAGTTTTAAGTTTTAGATATCTTCATAATATCATGATATACAGTCTTATACACAAGCTGCTTGGTATCTTTATTAACATTCCATGCTGTTCCCCTGGTAGCCGCCGATCTATCAACTTGAAGAGAGTCGTACAACGAATCTAATGAAGCAAGTAATAGTATGGAACCATAAATTTACCGCTTCCTCCCGGGGATTTATAGAAACGTTGTATGTCCAACAAAGCCGTAGACCTATTAATTGGTATGTATGCCCAACACTCTTCTATATCATACTCATATTTAAGTAGATACGAGGATCTCGATATTTTATGCCCTAGGAATGTACTATAAGTATAAAGGAAGTCTTAAGTGCCTCTTGTCTATAGATCAGGTAGAGAATGGGGAAATACGTCGTGGTACGAATAGCTACGGCACTACATCATCCAAAACAATACTACAAATATGCAAGCGAAACCTTTAACATTGATACCCTAAAAGCCCCGGAGTAAGTCTCTTAAAGGGCACCGTGGGAATACTCTGTAAGAGAGACTTATATTACTACAACCAATAGCATTAAACCAGCATAGAAGCTCCCCAAAACGCGATATATAAGTACCTGTCTTTCTCTTTCAAAAGAGATAGGTATGATATAAAACTTGTTAGGTTAAGCTGTTATGGTTTGAACTGCTAACTATCACATTATACTAGTCGAGTATCTAATTATTTTATAGCACTTCACAGCATATTTCCGACCCTCGAAAACTCTAACTTCAGTACTTCAATATTATGACTTCCTCGAACCGTTTAGCCTCAAAATCAAATTGTACAGTACATTACCCCGGGATAAATCTTGTTATAACACATTATATGTTTCATCCGTGTCGCTATGTATGTATAGTTGAACCGGTGTGTTGGTCCTTTTTACTTATTTTCAACACAAGTACCATTTCACGACCATCCTTACAATGGCCTTATAAGTCAACGAGGCAGCACCTCAAGCCAAGACAATTTATTAATACTAAACACTAAGTATAGAAAAGACACACCTCTACTGAACACAAATCCATTAAGTTCCTAGGTTAGATTAAATGGTCGAGGTAAACGCTCTCAATAAACATTAACGGCATGTGCCTGGGTAAAATAATATGGAAACTCCATACTATAACACAATCAAACTAGAATTAAAGCTCTTCGTTGCTTTTATACCACTAGACGTCGATGTGTCTTTACGGGTGAAGCTCCGAGGTAATAGCTGCTGGCCATCAACCTTATATACAAAGAGGCTCATTTGATAGCCTCAAAAATAGTCTTCTTGACACTAGAAACTTTCAAAACACCACTTGGACAAGTTGGGACTCTTGCTAGAGACGCACTATTGAGCAACGGGCTAACCAATGCCCCTACTGAATCGACTGTAATCGGAATCTATCAGCTTTATGTATAGTCTAATAACCGCAAGGTAGACAGAAAAGTGCCTTAACCCTAAAACTATCACAACTCTTCAATCTTAACTATGTGTTGTTTATATATCTAACCCTGTGACCTTGTTCCTACCCTTGTTCCTACCCTTGATACCTAGCAAGTGATTCACAACTGTTCGTAACTGCTCGCAAGTATAATTTACCCCGATGGCGTAGATCACCTAGCAAGAGGTAGCCCCGTAGTCCTCGAGAATATAAAAAAGCCATGGTTCTTCTCCCTACCTACCATGAAGCTCTAAAGCACCGACGGCTGGCTACATTATCTTCGGAATACCAACAAGCCTTTACCTAAATTATGCCTAAAACGGTTCGATTATTTACCGGGGTTATCCAAGGAATACTACACCGTCGGTTATATCATTACTTTGCAAACTGTTCAACTCGGAGAATATACCATGCTCTTAACAGGCATATCCTCGGCAGCCTAACTCATAAGATTGCGGTGTATATGTTCTCGCTATTGCCTTCCACCTTACGCATCTTCCTAAATTTCACATCTCAAAACCATCTCTTTCCACGGAAAGTCTCGATAGGAGTGCCCTGCGTCGATATTTTACCGATCTGCTACGGACGCCCTCGGTCATAATTCTTTACAACGCCGTCAAAGTGGAACTGGAAATGCCAACCTTTCTTACTACTATAATCACCAATTACAAGACAATACACCGGCATCCTTACTCAGGTCCAGCTGGGACACGACAGAAAAGGATCGCCTCGTACTTTAGAGTGTACAGTTCCATAACAAGATATAAATGAACCTCACAGCATACGTTTTCCCTATGAGGTCCTTCCGTACCAAATATCACAATGCTATGGAGTAAATAGTGACTAATATCTCATAAAGAATATGAAGACTGGAAAAAGCGTATAAGCTGCCTGGAACTGTTTATGGATATGAGGGACCAACCTATGAACAAGGGCAGAACGGGAATCAGTACTTCTAAAGACCCCCTAGAGGAGATTAAACGATCGATTAAGAACATGCATGAAAAGTTCGAGTATAAGGCATAGGAGCGCAGTGGTATGTTCTTGTAAGTTCAGCATGGGTAAAAGTAAAGCATTTAATAATAGGTATAAATAGGCTATAGGTGCTAGGGCTCTGGATGAGATATCTAGAACAAAGGAAATGTTCAGTATGTATAGTCGTAGGTTTCTGTAGTTACCTAGGTCAGAGTTCCTTACGGAACAACAAAGTTTCCTCCATGCTATTTGGTCCTACCTCGTGACGATAGATGTTGAAAGTTTGTCTGTTGTTATGATATACAACCTCATATACACAGGTACACATGTACAATTCAACCTAGCTCCGACTAATTTGAAGCTCTTTAACCAACTCACCTCTCGTCCGCACCGCTCCGTCTTCAACCAACGAAATCAACTTCTGGTTAACAGGTAGCCCGCCCTCGTCTCCAAGATACCGCGCCGTCTCCACAAGCCAGCCGTTGAAGTCCTCTATCTCGGTCTTCTTACCGGCTCGCACGTCCTGTAGCATCGAGCTCGTGTTCGCCGCCACTTTCTCACCAACACTATAGAGCATTGTCCGTAACCGTGCGGAAGAGAATCTCTCTACAAGACCTTCCCGTGTTCTTTCGAGACTCTCTTCCGTAGCTGCCCCTATCGCTACACCACCCTTTCTATCTTTATCTTGCGCAAGTAATATATTCTCACTACTTCGATGTCCTACTAGCGCTCTCAGCGTGCGACTCGCCTCCTCCACCAACATCTCAACCACACCCCCCAACCCATCCCCGCGCTCCTCAAAAACCTCCCCATTCTTACACATTAGCACCGCCGTCAGCGGATTTATAACCGCATTAACCACCAGCTTCTCCAGCTGCGCCACCCACAACTCCCGCGTCGCGACTCTCCGCGCATTTAACCCCGGCGCACCGACGATCTGCTCAGCCAGGTAGTCATCTTTATCTCCATCATTATCACTACCATCCCAGCCGTCTTCGCGTACCATCACAGACCCCACGCGCACGTCCGCAGGCGAGGCATGAACGCTGCGGAAGGGCCCCAGCGACGTCACGCCATGGGTCGTCACACACGCAAGCCAGCGCGGACCTTTACCTTTGCCAAACCGCGCCGCGACGTATGCTTTTCCCAGCGGCGGCCAGAGCTTACACATGCCGTTTTGCGCGAACGCGACGGTCGAGCTGCCGCCGAGATACCGTCTCACGCAGTCGACCTGTGGGATAGCATCCGGGGCTTTAGTGGCTATGATTAGATTGCTGATACCGTAGCCTGAGCCTGGTTCCCTTACCAAGCCGTGCGCTGGGTAAGTGTCGGTCCACCATTCGATGCGGAACGAGGGGTTCCACTCTGTCTTACCGTCGCGCACCAGCTCGATACCCGGATGGGCTTTCCACTGGTCTAAAAGTTCCCTCCGATGGACGACTAAGGTAATCGGCGGCCGGGGATCATTCTTAGCAAGAAAGCTTGCATATAGACGACCGATGTTTCCGATGCCTAGGATGTATATGCGGCGGCGCTCATCGTCTAGGTTCGGTATTTCTCCCACCTTGGGGGATTTACGGGCGTAATTTGCACTATCAGGATTTGCACCATCAAGTAAGTTTGTAAGCCGCCAAGCATAAAGTCTTGGTGGTTCCGATTGGTCTTCTGTAACTCGTTGTAGCCATTTTGTTGGAACTTGTTGCGAGCTTGTAGAAGACGATACCATGCGTAAAGAGTGTTTACACCAACTGGCCTTGAAGCTGTTCATGATCCGTCGGTATCGAACGACTTATGACAGCTTTCGTAGCCTTGTAACCTTTAGAGCTTTCCGGGATATTACGATGTACCGAATTGAGTCTAGATGAGGATCTACTATTCCCTTTTAAGATTCAAATAGGCTTTACGAAGATCCCCACTAGTAAGGGCCAATTAAATATCGATTGGATGCAAGGGCATACCCCAGCCACCGATCCATCGTTTTGATTTGGTAAAGCTTGTGAAACATTCTAGCGTCTCAAACACTTAGGTACCTAACAACCCTCGGATCTTGCCTACTTAGGCAAGTACCTATGTAAGCCTCAGGCTATCACGTGCGATTATCTACAATTCTCCGGCTAGTCGCATATGTATTGAGGTCATAACATTGTAAACCTAAGACAGGGAGTTTCATAGGCTAGAACAAGAATAAAGAGACAATGATATTTATGAAAATCATATCAATTAAAAACTACTAATTAGCGCTAGCAACTAAATCTGCTGCCGAACTATTAAAACTAAGCAATTTGCACGCAAAGCCTAATGGCTAGTCAAGAACACCGTCCATATCCTGTAGTATTAGGCAAACGTTCTTCCGGCGAAACCAGCGTATGAGACTGGAGACCAACCGAGCATCGTTCCAACGATGACATACTTCCGACTATAGTTGAGTGATGATATCAGACAATTCTAAGCCAACACCCTTCTTCGAGACTGTCACGCCATGGTCAACTCCTGAAGATTCCTTCACCTCCTCTCCCATTATTTGGGAGGGGCGCTTGCGGAGACACGCCTTTTCTTCTTGTATGGGAGGAAGGAGCGATATCGAGTGTCCAACAGATACCGCAGACTTAACATTCTCCTCAAATGAATCGCGAGTAACAGATCGGACTGACGGGATAGTACCGTTGACACCGTTGATGCCGTTGACGCCGTTGACACCGTTGACACCGTTGACACCGGGTGTTGTAAATTTGACTAAGGTTGTACGTTTGGTGGTTAGGCCGATTTCTGGGGACTGGGATTGGACAGACTCAACACGTTCAACGTGTTCTACATCCTCGACATGTTCAACGTGCTCGGTATCGTTCGCTTGATCGTCAGCAAGGGACAGATTTTCCCATGAAACGTTCCATGAACTACGCCATGAACCCACCGAGGATGTCGGGCTACCATGAGCTAATGGCTGGATAGTGAGGTTAGTAATGGATAGGGGAGAATAAAAGTGAAGTTATCATACCCAAGGTACAGCCCTAAGGCCAATATTTTTCAGCCTGTCTGGGTGGATAATTGGCCTAAATGAACAGGAATTGAAGCCGAAGCCAACGGCTGCAGTAGGTGGTATATCGCCGTTCGCAATACCATCCAGACTCAGATAGGATCTCAGTTCAGATGAAGGACGACAGCTTTGACAGCATACGAAACGACATTCCTCATTCCAACTAGGAACCCAGGGTTCGGTACTTTCACTGAACTGGAATCCTGGCGGCGGGTCGATTGTGGGTGATGCTGCCTGCGCAACATTACGGACCTAAATTATATATTAGCATGTATATTGTCCTTGTATACCGGTAAAAGAACACATACGTGATCCCTTTGCGAGACGATGGTGTGGATCTGGCTAGGAGTGTAACCCTCTAACTGCTCACTCGTGACCTCCTTGAAGATACTAAACTTCTCTGATCTACTTCGAGGACTCCTAGGCCGAACCTTCTTTAACTGCTTAACGAATTCCAACCCAAGGCTATCGAAACACACCTAAAAAAAAGCTAGTCAGCTATTACGTGTGTTGTAGAAAATATTAAAACGAAGGGAGAACTCACTCGTTGTTGCTTCTCTATGGCGTCTTCGATGACAAATTCTTGATCGTCGGTGCATCTCCAGAGCCATCCCTACTGGCCTGGTTTACCGCACAGAGAACAAGTTAAACGGGGATCGAACGCACGCGTCATAGTTAGGTGAGAACATGAGGCGTTAAAACGTGTTTGTGGAGGTTGTTGCATAGCTTGTGCTAGGTGGTATAGTCGTGGTACAGGCGACAGGGCTCTCTGGGCCTCCTGTGCCCCTGGACCCTGTCGACGTCCTCTCTTCATGGCTTGAGTAATAATGCGTGAAGGTATACCGATAGAAGTTGCTAATGCAGTGTTGTGTCGAGATGAAACAGAAAGGTAGATGCTGGTATACAGCGAAAATAATACCTGGGTTGAATGCGTTTAGTGACGAATGTATTCTAGTAATAGAGCGGTCAAAACGACTAATATTCCCCCCACTACTATCAATACTAACGAAAGTGGTATTGATGGGGGAGAAACACGCTACTATGCTTTGTAGAGAAACAGTAAAAACGAAGGTGGTTTTCAAGAAATTCTGTACTTGATATGCCGCACTTTATAAGTCAAAACTACTTGAAATAGAATAAATGTTAAGACTCGAGACCCACGAACGGATATGTGAATTTGTGGATAGATGGAGGGGCAAGGGCGCAAGGACGCAAGGACGCAAGGTTGCTTGGACTCTCTGGAGAACTAGTGATGAAATAATTACGAATGTTTATTCCGATTGCTAGTTCGACTGGGTGCGTACGGGCCTTCCTGGGTGCCTAACATATACCTACAGGTAGGTACTTCCGTGCATATACATAGGCGACGAAACTAGGTGGGTAAAGTTTAGGCAGGTGCTGCCTTAGATTAGGTAGAATAGCAACTACGAATTATACTACTATAGTACCTACCTATAGGCTAAACTTGCTAGGTTAGACCATTTCCCATAGCATTGGATAGAGGTAGCTACATCTAAGATACATGTACTTATTGGTGTCGAGTAGCTCAGGTACACGCTTGAAGCTATTCCCAACGACATCGTCCTCCCCTGAGTTTCCTTTTGGCTTCCGAGCTCGTGGGTTGTACTGCATGGTTAAACCCTATTTTACCGTATCACTTGTCATATCATACATGTACCGTCATTTTCATTCTCGCACCCCTACGTACCTAGGTATATACACGAGATGCATTAGTGGCGTGATAGACACTGTAGTCATACCTGATAACTCTCCATATACGATTAGCTACCAATTAGAGGATATTCTCCAAGGTGTGCATGTAAAGCGATTTTGGGTCTTAGTGGTTCTTGTGGTTCTTGCGGTTCTCGCTGCGTACTGAAAAAGGAAAATACATGTGCACTCGTACTGAAGCAGTAGCCAGACCGCGGAGGAACGAACCTACCGGCTAATCGAACCAATGAGGAGCGGGGCACGTTCAAGGTCGAGATAGATCGAGCCCGAGTGTTTTGTGGATTTTATGGATCGCAGCTGTCGTGCAGTAACAGTCCCCCCCTTGATCCCCCTTGGTTCGAGGTTACTAAAAAAGCAAGAGACCCACCTAGGCGTGGTCATCTCCTGGTCGCGACTTTACGAGCCAATGAGAGGGGACTATGGCGAATGAAAGCGCAAGGAGAGGAAGGTACCCAGCCAGGTCCCAGCAAGGTTCAGCAGGTGCTGGCGGCCCCAGACTTGCCCGACCTGTTGTCCAACCTTGTCCAACCTCACCCTCACCAACCTCCTCCACATCTTCCACAATCTGCCACCAAATCTGCATCCTATTGTTCATCTTTCAAACTCGACCGATACGGATGAGTTTCCAAAGACCCGCAATTCCCTCCCGGTGACTTCTGCCCTCACGTAGAATGCTAGCTATCATTTCTTCCACCTGCGAGAATATTCTTATGCTTTGATTGATAGATACGCGAAAGCCTGTAAATTCACGTCCGAAATCCGAAATAATCCTACCGAGGCCCCCCCCGTCAGCTCAAGGTAAACAAATCAATTGACACCAACAAAGTCCCAAGTACCCGCCGTCCACACTCGAACACCTTTCTTTCCCGACCGCACTTTCATCGCTAACACGATTCTTGCTTAGACTTTCTGGACTAGACCATCTGTTATCGATTAAACTCAGGCGATCATGTCGCTTAAGATCGAGAGAGAAACGATCCGTCATGCGACCGAGACCGTGCCCGGCGCTCTCGCGCACATTCCTCGTGACGGCCCTCTCCCAGGTACGACCGGCAAGCATCCCATCGCAGAGGCGATCGGTACCGCGATCACTGGAGGTAAACGAAACGCCGGCACGAGGGGCTACTTAATGGTACGTCGTGATTTTTTGCCATTAACTTTTAAGATCCGCCGAGTCGCAACCGAGCTGACCTCGGCTTTCTACTAGGCCTACATCAATCAGCTGGAGAAAAATCCGATGCGGACTAAGATGCTCACGGCTGGAACCCTCGCCGGTCTACAAGAGCTTCTCGCGTCGTGGCTAGCTAGAGACCGCAACAAGCATGGAAACTATTTCACAGCCCGTGTCCCAAAGATGGCGGCATACGGCGCTCTGGTCAGCGCGCCCCTAGGCCATTTCCTGATCTGGTGTCTTCAAAAGGCCTTCAAGGGTCGCACGAGTCTTCGTGCCAAGATTCTCCAGATTCTTATCAGCAACCTTATAGTGCGTTCCCCAGACCGCCACCTAAACTAACTGCATAACTGACGTGCATCAACTAGGTTGCTCCAATCCAAAACACTGTCTACCTCGTCGCTATGGCTCTCATCGCCGGTGCCCGAACCTATCACCAGGTCCGAGCAACGGTACGCGTCAGCTTTATGAAGGTCATGAAGGTATCTTGGATTAGCTCGCCGCTGTGCCTTGCTTTTGCACAGGCCTTCCTACCTGAAGCCGCCTGGGTTCCCTTCTTTAACGTTGTCGCCTTCACCATCGGCACGTATATTAACACCATGACTAAGAAGAAGCGTCTTGCTGCCCTGCGTAAGAAGCACTTCGGCGACGGACGATCAGGCTCCGTAGCGAGTGGACGACCCGAGCAGGACTATCCCCATCCCCCTCCTTCCTCAATCGGTGGACCTAACCCACCATACTAACTTGTGAATTAACTGTCGGGATAGGGGATGGGGATGGGGTGTTGTGTGGGACGGAATGTGGAAATCTGTAGGTATTGAGGATGACCGGGGCCGGCTCACTCGACTTAATATCGGGGACGCTATTTCACGTAACGTCGTATACAAGTAACGAGGGAAAATAGGGAGGGTTGGGGTTATATCTTGGGACGATCCGTGATGTGTTCAGGAGTATCCGCGCTTTTATATAATTTGCTTTCGTCCTGTTATTTGCAGTACCAAAATATTTCCTCGAGTAGTTCATAAACAGAATAAAATATTGAAAAGATAACCTTCTCCAGTCTTCATAGTATGGATGATGTTTGTATAAGCTTCTAGTAATATTGCCACTGATGCTCGTATGACATTGGTTCATCTGAGATAGTTATGGTTGATTCTAGTAGTTATTCAATATTTCTTTTTAAGAGATATCTATTCACATCTATTCCAACATGTATCGTTTCTACCCCAAATACACATCCGTGCCCCACCAGTATGGTCGATACGGCGGCCCTTACGCGGTGAAGTCGATGCAGCTCTCGTAGGTCTGCCTCGCTCCCGTTCCGTACCACCACCATTGGAGAACCTACACACACACACGCTCTATTAGCTACAACGTAACATAACACGATACAACACCCCGAGTCTCAAGGTTAACTTACACAAGAACCGGCATCGGCGCACTTGGAGCCGAGGTCCTCGGGGATGGTAACGTCGAACTTGGTCTGGTTGGCAGGGGTCTGGTGAGCGTAGAACTGGCGCTCGTCGGCATAACCGGAAGGCCAGCTGAGCAGAGGCTCGCCGATGATGGTGTTAGTCTTGGTGTCGACGACGGACACGTTGGCAGCGCCGACGTGCGGGATCGTCAGCTCGACCTCGATGGAGACCTTTTGGCCGGGCTTGTAGGCTTGCACGTTGGCGGCGTTGTCGGCGTATTGCAGGCCGCGGCATAGCCAGAGGTTGCAGAGCTCGCCGTGATATCCCGTGTCCTTGGCTGCGAGCTCGGGTAGCCCCTCGACGTGCGAGGTTAGGTCGCCCTTGATGTTGGCGACAACGGAGGACCCGCATGCAGCGGAGGATGCGTCTCCTGGGCCGCGGGGGGTGGGCGTCGTTATCAGACCGTGACCAGAGACGGTGGCGGCCAGGGCGGCAAGAGGAAGGAGTTGCGCGTACATTTTGACGGTGTTAGTGGTGATTAGAAGTAAAGAGTATGTTCTAGTCGTGAGGAAGAAACTATTGAAGCGCTTATATCCAGTCCGTGTGTCTCACACGACGGTTAAAGCTAGCTGGGCGCAAGTGCTCTTTTGTAACCCCTTAGTCTCCATCTTTGATTCCAAATACCTCCGCTCGGAACCCTGTCTCTGGCAGGAGATTTAATAAAAGATATTCCAACGTGCAGGGTCCTTCCTTTTCGCCCGGCAGACAATATATGTCGAGAGGCGGGCCCTGCTCGTGTGGGGGGCGTTGGGCGCTGGGGATCCGTCGTCCATATAGCCGGTAAAATAAGGACGTCGTCGTACTGGATCGCGGGTAAAAAGAAGGATATGCGAAAACGACGGCTAGACGTCCCCAATTCAATCATGGCCGGCGCGTATGCCGCGCCCCGTCGAGGTATCCGTGCCTGCTGCATGGTACCTAAGGGAACGAGCACTCCCGCGGAACGACCTGTTTCCGGCGGGAGCGATGCACGCTAGAGGGTCAATAACGCAGACATATTACATACATTCCTAGCATTTAAACCAGACGTGCTCGATAAGAAATAAATATCTCTGACGAGCATATTCCTCGCCAGCATGCAAACACCGACAGCAAGCAAACGCCGAGATGCCTCAATATCTCTTTGTTTGCTCGGCGTGGGATGGGATGGGATGGGATGATATCTATGTCTAGGTCCTTGACGTCGGAGTAGAGTTTGATAATAGCCACGACGGGATGCCGGATAGAAATATGATCATCTAGGGGTCCAGATGCGAGAGAAAGGGGTCTTTTCTTATTTTAGGAGACTGGAGTAAGTGTTAATATATTCCTTGATGATGTTTCTCGATGCTAGGGACGGGGGGGGGGGGGGGGGTGCTTCTCCTCTTTACCTGGGGTATCCTCTGCCTCAGTCGAGGGTTTTCCTCTTTCTCTGCAACTGGACATCATATCGCTTCACATGAAAATGGGGCTCGATAATTCATCTCCAATAAGACGGATTGTGGTTAGGGATGAGTTGGAGGAAAAGTTATTCATTCATACTGTTTTAATCGTTGCTACTCATGAGTATAACTCTTCAACACCTTTAGTCGTGGTGAAGTTAGAACACACTTCTAAATATTGAAGGGATGAGAAACGTAGATTGACCGTGTTACTTGTATAATGTCCCTCCCAATGCATATACTCTCTTAACCGAATTCCCACCTGCCTAAGGTGAACCTTCCGTCCATGTCACTTCCAATTCCACGAACTACCTAAGGTACCTAAGGTACCTAACCTACCATAATCAAAGCTCCTGCATTTACAATCACGATTATATAATTGGCCATCTCATTACTAATGTCGCAAAAAACCGCACCCGTCAACCCAATTGGCTTCTGTGCCGCTTTTCGCCGAGCTTAAACTGACGGGGGGGGCCCTTGACATCATCCCACTTCAAAAAAAGGAAAAGAAATCTCTTGCTTAGAAACGCCTACATCTTCTCCGGCAACGCTTTAACCTCCAACCCCGAAAATGCCGCCTCCGCTCGCCGTACGCTGCACCCACGGATCCTCGTCTTCGGCTGCGAGACTATTCGTGCGCTTGCTATGCGCATCGTCGTCGCCTATAGGTAGCAGCAGCAGCAGCACTTCTATTCTCGATGTGTTGCTGCCGCCGCGGACCCGGGCTTTCCACCTCGCACGGGACCAAATCCGTGGTCGGGCGCGGAGTCCTCGGGTCCGGAACGAAAGGAGCGTTATATCGCATGTCCCGTATAATACAGCTCGACGATATTTTAGCGCAACGGCGCCCTGGCGCAAGACCCAAGTCGTGTATAATCCGCAGAAGGACGAGGACGGTAACGATATGGTCTTGGAGATTACACCGCGCGCCGCCAGCGTAAGTCTTGCACATACGCCTTCTCCCGCGCGCCTTCTCATCTCCTCTGCCGCAAGTCTAGCTAATAAACCCTCCCCTTTCCCTCACTCCAGAAACTTTCGCAAATCATGGTCAAAGACAAAAACCCCAACCTAGCGCTGCGCATCTCCGTCGAATCCGGCGGGTGCCACGGGTTCCAATACCTAATGTCCCTAACCTCTCTCCCGCCCTCCCTGCCCTCCACCCCGGACTCGACGACATCCGCGCACCCGCCTCCCGAAACTTCATCTACCCCTCCCGCCCCCGCCACCCAAGAAGGGCAGAACGCCACCGCCGAAATCACCCCCTCAACCACCACCAGCGCCGCGCCTTCCGCGCCCAGCATCGGCGAGGACGATACCATCTTCGCCTTTGTGAAAGACGACCCTCCTTCTTCGGATTCCGATTCGCCGCCGCCGCCCTCCTCATCAACCCCGTCCGAGCCGTCTCCGTCTGTCGGCGCCGAAGCAAAGGACTTAACGAGCGCCGCAATGCCCAAGGTCATCCTAGACTCGCCGAGCTTGGAGCTGCTGAAGGGGAGCAAGGTGGACTACACGATGGAGCTGATTGGGAGCCAGTTTAAGATCGTGGATAACCCACTTGCTACAAGCAGTTGCGGCTGCGGCACTAGCTTCGACATCAAGATATAACATTTCCGCATTGGGTACTCGGATGTTTCCCTGTTTGGCCGAGGGTTCTTGTGTATATTTATCTACCATTAATAGTTTATATTAGAATATTTGCATGAAAGAGGAAAGATGGGGGGGATGAGATCCGCGGAAATTGGCGGTGGTGTCATACTTTTCATTGGGAGACAGTTGTATATTCTCTTATCACGGCATACAACGAGGGTAGTCCCGCAGATACGAACATAGAATACATTAATCATATAAATCACAATCCCAACTTCTTCTCAGCAGTCCAAGGGTTTTTTATTACTGTAAGTCGTACAAATGAGCCCATATAAGCAAGAACCTACGCTAGGTTCAACAAGCACTTCTCTAATACAATGCACCCTATGTACCTACCATCATAAGCCTTATCATGACGACTTAGATGTCGGCTACTTATTATTATGAACCAAGGGTTAAAAGGTGTTTGAAGACTAGCAGCAATATCCTGGCAAGGTTTCAGGAGAAGTATACTACTATTCATCCTACTATTCATGACTAGACAGTAAGGGACAGACGAAAGTATGGGGTTGCCATGATCATAAAGTCTCAATTCATTGATAGCATCCGAAGCTTTTATGAACGCCGTGAACCATGCACAGAAGCAAACCCCCTAATACCAGACCCATTTAACCCTTAACCCCAAACTTAGTTCATCTGTCGGATGAGACCGTTGATCTTGTCTTCTCGGTTACCAAGGTCACCACCCTCGATGAAGTGCTTGAACTTGCGCGTTCGGAAACCACCGTTGGGGTTGCTGAGCTTGAAGGGCCATAAGAAGTTGGAGGCTTGCTTGAAGTTGGGGCCGACAGTGTAGATCTCGTGGACGAGATCCTCAATGCAGACAATGCCGTATTGGCCGAGGTTCTCCTCGATGATAGAGTTGTCGGTGAGGGGAATGCGCTGTTTGTTGATCTTGCCATATCCGCGCTTGTAGATGAGCTCCTTGACGCTCTTTAGGTTGGGGTAACCGTAAGCAACCCACGGCTCGACGATCTTGATCATCTCGGCGGTAGCCTTGGTGATACGGACGAAGATACCGTTGTTGATCTGGAGGAGACGGAGAAGCTGGAGAATCTTGCGGGGCTTGGGTGCAATCTTGTTGATACTACTCGTTCATTAGAAAATGTTTGATTGTATTGGGAATGTTAGAATGAACATACCCCTTGATTCGGATGACGAAGATCAACTTCCCCTCGGCAGGGACGTGGAAGCTGCCCTCCTGCTTGGCGAGGCGTTGGAGGCGGACCTTCTCACGCTCGGCATCGCGATACTCCTTAACGTACTTCTCAGCACGCTTGAAGATGACGGAGCGCTTCTCCTTGTTGAGCTATACATCAATGTCAGCTTGTAATCCATGTACATAGAAGCATATGACAAAATATGTATATATTTGTCGATCAGACCCGAAAGATGGTATTTTGCAACAGCATCGACTTTGTCTAGTTGCAAGTGGTTTTATGCATCACGTCGTTATTTTCTTTTTTTCTTTTAATAGAAATGACTAACCTTCTTGCGCTGCTCAAGCTCGGCGGACTTCTCGGCGCGGGCCTTCTCCTGGCTCTTGCGCTTCTTGAGGAGAGTCTCGGGGACGAGGATCTGGTCCTTGGTAGGGACGGAACTGTTGTCAAATCAGATTAGTACGTAGTCCACAATCATACATGAATGCATGAATAGAGCGCCGGTTGGAGAATTGCCGACTGCACGCGACATTCTCAGAGGTAGCTAACTCGGTGGGAAATTTTTTGATCGGTGAGATGCTAGAGCCCGTAACCTCTTTCGAGAAGTGCGACTGTATTCATAGCATTCCCTCTCATCCGACAACGCCTTGAACATAAGTTCAAGATAAATGCTCGCTCTATACCAGCTAGATTGACAATAATTTCTTAATTGTCTACTGATAGTGAAAGCGGCAGATGAATTTAAGAGAGAAGGGCCAGGCCTTCATCTCCAACACCCCAGAGCAACATCTCTCTGTATCCAAGCTATACATCAAGCCTGAAAAACAGAGGGAGAAGCCTGGGAAACATCGAGCTGGCTTGCGATGCGTCTTCGCACCATTTTCAGGTGTTCAGAAGAGCAAGGCAACCCAGCCGAGAAGACCACGACAATCTGCAAAATCCATAGGACCGGATATCGACTCGCTCGTTCAAGAACAAGGAATTAGGAAGGTATATCATACGTAGTAGCAGCCATTGTTGTCGAATTGGGCGATGGCCGTTTGGTCGTGGGTTGTCGACTCGGGTTTGGGATGTGGAAAGGTTAGAAATTTTCAAAAAAAGGCACGAGAAAATTTGGTAAAGTTTTAGTGCGGGACTCTCTAGTTGGTGTGACCCAAAAGGGTTTAGGCGGGGGTTGGTCAAAGCTGGTGCGGTGTTACTTGGTACACCGCCCCAAGCCCCAAGCGAGAAGTGGAAAGGTGTTAGGGTTAATCCACTTTTAATTATTTCTGCCGTCTCCCACCGCCGCCTTTCTGCGCTTCTCTCCCACCCCACAAATCAACACACTGAATTATTGTGAACGATCGATTTCTCTCGAGGGAAAAAAAAACCTGCGGTCAAGCTTCATTTCAACAACCGTCAACCCCGAAGTCCAACTCCCCGCCAACACCAAAAGATCATTTACAATGCCTCCCAAGAAGACCACCCGTCCTGTTCAGGAGAACATCTCCCTCGGACCTCAGGTCCGTGAAGGTGAGTCAAGATCCGCTTGAAAGTGTAAGACATCGTCAGGCTTGCTAACGTGCCCCGCGATCACAGGTGAGCTCGTCTTTGGCGTTGCTCGTATCTTCGCCTCTTTCAACGACACTTTCGTCCATGTCACCGATCTCAGGTTCGTCTAAGCAAATTTTCCGAATCAATCCCTACTGTCTCGAGGTTATGATATATAAGCGAAGGAGGAGGACCGAATTCTACGCCCTACTCTCGCTATACTTAGATATATATAACTTCTATATATATCTCCGCTTGAAAAAGTTCGTGTGTGTGGTTCATAGGCTAACGTTCTGGGTGATTCCAGTGGCCGCGAAACCATCACCCGAGTTACCGGTGGTATGAAGGTCAAGGCCGACCGTGACGAGTCCTCCCCCTACGCTGCCATGTTGGCAGCTCAGGACGTCGCCGCCCGCTGCAAGGAGCTCGGCATCAACGCCCTCCACATCAAGATCCGTGCTACCGGTGGTAACGGTACCAAGACCCCCGGTCCCGGTGCCCAGTCTGCTCTCCGTGCTCTTGCCCGTTCCGGCATGAAGATCGGCCGTATCGAGGACGTGACCCCCACTCCCTCCGACAGCACCCGCAGAAAGGGTGGTCGCCGTGGTCGTCGTCTGTGATCGCGCCATATTCACCTATATATCAACCGGCTACGGCTGGTGGTTTTGGTGGGCGATCCAGCAATGATCGGCGGAATCAAGGGTTGGCACGAGGACTTCTTCATCTCTGTGGCGTTGACAATTACGAGGAGAACGGCGTGCATCTAGAGAGGAATAAGACATGCCTGGTCTCCATGATACTTCGAGTAGCTATGCTTATTGTCACATGATGCCTTTTGGCACGGCTACAGAAATGAGAAAACATTGATCCAACTAAAATCCTATTCTTATACCATCCTCCTACGTGATTTATTAAAACCTGCATAGCATTGTTATGAAAAACTTGTAGGAATTGTAGTTTTGATTAAGATAAATCCATAACGCTAATTGAAGCAACCATTCCTAAGCTCTAGTGAACATATATGCACCTGTGCTATGCTAAAGTATATAGACCGTACCGCAACACCTTGCTAAGCCGATCATGAAGACTCGCCCTCGAAGTCCACTATCTAAAACAAAGCTGTTCTTAAATCAATAATTATGTCAACGCCGATCAATCAGTGTCCTGGCTTAAGGGCCCAGATACCCCTCATAGTAGACCCCCTTTTCTCCATTTGAGCAACCCGGTCCAGGGCGGTCTTGAAGTCGCCAGACTGCTTCTTCGTAATACAGAATTGGTTAAAATGGTCAACCAGTAGTTTCGTGGGGACCTTGCCTCCGTGGGCTTTGATGAATTCCGGAATCATCTTCGCGAAATCTTTAGCCCCTAGGTTTGTTCCTCTGGCTGGTGTAGGCGTTGCCGATCCTGAGCGAGAACTACCTGCGGATGAGCTCAGTCCTTGCCTATCAGCTAACCCGGCCAAGATACTAGCTGAACCGGGGCCGCCGCGACCCCTACGGATATTAGATGGTCTACCGGCCTCGCCCACCTCACCGGTCCAGGTAACAGTGCCAATAGGCACCGAGTGCGTCTGCTCACCTGCTCGTCGAAGGGATGCAGCTGCCTGTGCCGCCACGCGATCTGCTTCTTGCTGAAGCAATCTTGGGTCGGCTCTTAGTTGCTTCTTACCATTGACTATTTTATCATGTTCGAGTGCCGAATGAACACCAGAGCGGGCAAAAAGACCTTCCATGATCCGGTCTTCCTCTGTCGGCGCCGGCTTTGTCTCGGGGTCAGGCTCATAGTCCTCGAGAGCAGCTACACCAGCTATAGTATGGAGATCACGATCACCGTCTTCACTAACTGATTTACTTTGTATCTCCATAGACTCTGCTGCCTCGCCAGCCTTCTGGCTCGGGCCATCTTTAGTTGAAGAAGTATTATTAAACTGAACTTCCGAGCCTTCGAATAACTTCCCTGTTTCTGTCACCTTATCTCCAGAAGATCCTAGCGTAAAGAGGTCATGGAGATCCTGGAGCTGGAAAGTAGTACGCTGTTTCGGGTCTTTTAATACCTTGTTGGTTAAGAATTGTTTAAATATCTGACGATGGTACATCTTCTCTTCAATCGTACCAGCAGTCATGAGCCGGTAAATTGTGACTTCTTTCTTCTGACCAAGACGCCATGCTCGTTCCCGAGCCTGAACATCTGTCGAAGGATTCCAATCAGGATCAAAGATAATAACCCGGTTTGCGCCAGTTAAATTCACTCCTAAGCCGCCAACCTTTGTGGTTAGTAAAAAGAGGTCGATTTCTGGGGTATTATTGAATTGATCAACGAGGCTTTGTCTATCTTTGATAGCAGTGCCGCCATCCATTCGCAGGTAATTGATATACCCTAGGCGCCTTACAAATGCCTCAAGAATATCAAGCATTTGAATACCTTGGCTGAATAGAAGAGTCTTATGCCCGAATCGTTTCCACATTTGGAGAAGCGCTTCTACAATCTGCATCTTGCCCGATTTCTTAGAGACTCCCCATTCGTACCCTTCTTTCGTTTTTAATCCAGGATCAACTAGGTCAGGGTGGTTGCAAATCTTTCGGAGGACGTCAATTCCATAAAGTGAGTTCCTTGATCCGACAAGAATGGCGCCCATTTCTTTTGACTGGAGGAAGAACTCGTAGGCATCGCGCTGAGGTCTTGTAAGGTTACAAAAGAGAACCTGTTCCTTCTTCTTCGGGAGATCGGCTGCAACATCGACTTTCAACCGTTGAAGTAGAAACGGGCTTATTGTGTCCTTCAATATTTCGGCACATTTTTGAGCCGTCATGATTTGGAGATTTGTAGCATTGGCATACCCTCCTAATCGTATAGGTATTTCGAATTGGTTACGGAAATCCACAAGTGTTCCTAGTCGCATTGGGAAGATGAAGTCAAACAATGACCACAATTCCATGAGATTGTTTTGCATCGGAGTACCGGAAAGAATGACTCGATTCGGCGTCCGCAACTCCTTGCAATATACCGTGACCGCGCTATTTGGATTCCGGATCTTGTGACCTTCGTCTAAGACTGCGTAGCCCCATTCGATGGGGGTTAGGATCCGTCCATACGTCTGCAAGCCAGCGTAAGTAGTGACTAGAACATGGCCGTGTTTGACCACTCGATCCACAATCTTCTTGGCAGCTTGGTTAACCCTCTTATTTTCTCTTTCATCCCACATCTCTTCTTCATCTTCAATCTTACCCTCAGCTCTCATATTGAGCATACCACTACCAGACGAGTGGAGAATTGACACGCGAAGAGGAGGCCACCAGCGATGGAATTCGTTTACCCACTGTCTCAAGACAGTAGCTGGTGCCACAACGATGACTGGTTTGTCAAGCTGGTTGCTATGATGCAGAGTGGCGACAAACGAGATGAGTTGAATGGTCTTTCCGAGGCCCATCTCGTCACCAACAATGCCCCCTACTTTTTGATAATAAAGCTCGGCTAGCCACTTCACCCCGGTCTTCTGATAGTCAAATAGAGTAGGGTATATATCGCCGGGTAACTTCAAGTCGTTTTCGAAGTGATGGTCGGTATGATCTGGAGAAGGTTTGAACCACTCTTCTTCATCTCCGCTATCAACTTCATCATGGCCTTCCTCCCTTCTTTCTTGTCGCCTTTGGCGTCTGGCTCTGCCACGCCTGTCCACCCAGTCTGCAAGTCGAGTCTGATAACTGGCCTCGTTTCCATCGTCGATCTGACTAAGGTCTACCTTACCATCTTCCTTTGCTACCTTCTTGGACTTTTTATGAGGTCGTTCGAGCTCAGAGTCTTCCGATTCTTGGCCAACGATAGAATCCGCATCGAGCGCGTCGGAAGAAGCGTGCGGTGCGAATTCATCTGATGACACAACATCACTCTGCACTCTTCGCTTCTTTCGGGGACGCAGCGAGAACTCACTCTCTGCCGCTACCGTGGCCAGACTGGGATTCTCGTCAAATCCAGGCGCGCGTAGATTTTGGTGAGATTGTGGCTCATAGCTGTCTTGCTCCTCCAACTGCTCTGCCGCAGCCTCGTCCTCCGCGTCGATCAAAGCATCCGCTAACTCCCCCTCAACTCCCCGAGGCCGAGGCCCCCCGAAATTCGCAAAGGGCGTGATTTTCCCGGTACGGATTAAAAATTCACGATGGGTCTCGTTGGGCAACTTCTTGTTCCCACCCTGGATGTGTTCGGCATGTTCACTATCTTGATGTCGCCCCTCGATGCGAGCGCGGAGATCTACTATGTCTTTATTTGCTAGTTCAATTTCTGCGTCTATTCGTGAGATCTTCTCTCGTATAGTCTGCTTCAGTTGAGGTCTTCCAATCGCTTTACGGAACTGCTCCTCTTGCGTCTTCTTCTGGGCGTTGAGCTTTTGTATAGTGGCCTGCACCTTCTCTATACGTTTTTCGTCTCGCTTATCTTCGACATCGATCAAGGCAAGGTTCGCTTTATAGGTAATGTCTCGCTCGAGGTCATCCTGGTCGCGCACGCCTGCTGTAAGATTCCTTAGGGCGGAGTCCTCGTCTGTAATATCGATAGTATCATTTTCTAAGCTAGGGTCGGCAGCGGAGGTTTCCTGTGCGATCGCAGTTATCTGTTTAGCAATTGACCCGTCGGACTGCCGCGCATTTTCCGACTCTGCCTTCGATCTATCCTCATTAATAGGATTAGGTGTCATGGCGAGATCTGGTAAAATGAAACGGCCATAGAGCTGAAAAAGTAAATCCGGAGTGAAAGCTTCGATCTGTGCCGGCGTAAGAGAACAAAGAAGGGGGATTAAGGAACTTGGATGATTATTGGCGCAAAAGAAGGCGCATGGGGAAGAGTAAAAACAGTTAGGTGAGATGAAATAGGCACCAGCGTAGATAAAAATTGAGATGATGGATTGAGGCTCTTTGTAAACCACCCGATGCCACTACTGGTTGGGATATGCAAGGAAGCTCTGGAATTACGAATGACGCATGTCCGATGAGTCAATGAAATTAGCGTCAGAAGCTAACGCATCTTATCGATAAAAATTGACCAAATCTACCTAGCATGTAACTTCCAAGTGCCGCCCAGATCTTACGTTGCTTGAAGGTCACTGCACATGTAGGTTAGGTACCTAGGTATCTTATGCAACCAACCTCCGGAGATGTTAGGTACCTAGTTGCCAATTAGAAGAGCCGTGCTGAAGTTCCTATTGAGGAATACAAAAAGTCTGCCTTTACACTAGGAAACATATCTCGAAAAGTTACCAAGTATTTACAGAATCGTCCTCAACTAATCCAATAGAAGTATGAGTATAATTTAGAAGACGAAAAGCTAATATATTAGGTGCCCTTTATAGTGAAGAATGGTGTAAAATGCACTGCTATGAATCCGTAGTAAAGTGCCTATTAAATATATCAAAGATATAGTTTAAGCGCTATAAAAGACCAAGACTCCCATTATCTCTCCAGAGCAAAATATATTTTGGGCCAAGTTAGATTCAGCATCAACAAGCCGAGAAGCTGGTCGACTACAATTCACAATAAAGCAATAAAGCAATTTATATCAAACCTCTTCATCTCGCTTAATCAGTATCGTTAGGTGTATTATTAGAACCTGGCTCGTTCTCGGGATAGTTTGTTTGATAAATTCTAAATTCAAGGGGAGGTTACATGGTGGAAATAGTCGTTACACTAAAAGTTAAGATTTCCCCAGATGGATCACACGAAAACCCACCTTAAATAAGCATGAACCAATGGGATTATATGATATTCTTAGGGCTGCTAGGGAATTTGCGCAGGGCGAAGCTTAGTGTATAAGTACCTAGAGGTACCTGGTATCCAAGAATAGATTACCTCTTAACGTCGCCCCTGGAGGATTTTTAGTTCTTACCCGACCATTAACGAAGTCTCCTGTTTGACTTTGTCAATTTGAATATATCGATCCCAGCCGTGGATAACAAAATAGTATACACAACGGAGTGAACTAACCTAGGTAGCTACATGTATTATCAATTTCAAAGCTGTCGGACTAATACATGCTACGTCACCTTCACCGGTTTATCACCATCTCCTCATGCTAATAATGATACCCGATATGATCAGGACGATTACATATCACATGCAGTGAAAGACGTGATGCTGACCGAAGTTCATGCTCGGAGATATATGCATACCTACCTACCTACCTACCTACCTACCTAGGTCTACATATCCCACCATTACGGCATTAGTATAGTTAGAAAGCATCCGTACTTCCGGGAATACAGTAGGTATACAACAGGCAACAGCATTGAATTACTACAGAGCAAGGTTAGAAAGGCCCGACTCGAGTGCTTCTGATTGATATAACAGAACCCCTCGACGGCCATGTATCCATCCTCTGGTTCAACCAAGAAACAAATAGCACCCTCGACTATATTTTCCTATTATTTTCCTATCTCGGGAGAAGCTCAGATGCAGATGTGACGGGGTTAATCGATCTCCAAACGAACTACCTGCCCTTCTCGTTAGCTGCGCGCGAGGCACTTCGTTCTATTGGTCAACCTCATAAACTCCCGCGTCAAAGTGGATATCATGGCAGGCATCATGGCAAGTAGCCGTCGAGCTGTTCGCAGGAAATAGGTTACCTGCATACCGACGCCAGCCATGACAAACACTCCCCTATGCTGACAAAATGTTTCAACCGATCGTCCGGCGTTACCCATGTCTGCTCAATCACACTATGCAGATCCCATGGAACGGAGCAGCCGCCGTACCGCCCCTCTAGGAGCTACTTAAGGTAGCTTGCTGCGCTCCCTCGGTGCATAGCCCTACCTTGGAGGATCCACGCAGAGAGAGCTTATTCGAACTGCGAGCTAGACCTCAGGTACTTAGAGAGACGAGTCCCAGGCAACTCAGACTAGAGGAAGCCCTACCATAGTCAATCAGCACCTATAGGCCCTTCATCTCTTGCGGGGACCCAACAGCTTACCTTACAGCCTTCGATAATAAGGAGTGGTGATAACAGTTGCCCAAGATGCTGTTTTGCAAAGTATCTACCTGGATGGCGAGGTTCATGCCGCTCCTCGTCCCAGCGGCATGTGCCTCGGCAGCAGTAGCCAACGACCACCGCGTCGTAGTCTACTACCAGACGACCCAAGCCAACAATAGTGCTACAGCGCATATCTCGCTGCTACCGCTCATCGACAGTGCCCCTGAGGTTTCTGTCACCCATGTCCTGATCGCCGCCATCCACATCCAAGATGACGCCACCATTCATCTTAACAACGAACCCCCTGACAACGCCATGTTCGACGCAGTCTGGACCGACGCGGCACAGCTACAGGCTAAGGGTGTTACTGTGATGGGTATGCTGGGCGGTGCCGCCGCAGGTTCCTACCAGCGTCTTGACGGCGACGACGCCTCGTTTGAGAAGTTCTACGCCCCACTACACGACATGATCGGCACCTACAACCTGCAGGGTCTGGACCTAGATGTCGAGGAGAACTTTTCGTTAGACGGCGTCATCCGGCTGATCGACAGACTCAAGAAGGACTTCGGCAATGACTTCATCATTTCCCTGGCTCCCGTAGCCTCTGCATTGACCGAAGGCGGCGGCAACCTCAGCGGCTTCAACTACTTCGACCTAGAGCAACAACGCGGCAGCTCCATCGCCTTCTACAACGCGCAGTTCTACTACGGGTGGGGCGACGCCAGCAGCGCCGGCGACTACGAAGCCATCCTCGACGACGGGTTCCCCGCCGAAAAAGTAGTCCTGGGCTTAGTCACCGACCCGTCCAACGGGTACGGCTTCGTCAGCTTGGACGACGAGGCCCCGGTTCTCCAGGAGCTCACGAGCGAGAACCCGACGTTCGGCGGCGTGGCCGGCTGGGAGTACTTCAACTCGCTGCCCGGCGGCTCGGGTTCCCCCTGGGAGTGGGCCGCTTGGATGGCGGACCATGTTAGATCTGCTGCTGCGACTACCGGCGAGAAGCGCGAGATTGCGACGACGGAGAGGGTCTGGAGGGGTATCCGTAAAGCTGGGCGGCGGGCGCGCCGTGATGCTAAGAAGGTGTATCGGGATTACATTGCTTAAGGGCTTGCGCGCGCGCGCGGTGGATAGCGTTGGCGCGTGTGATCCATTGGATGAGTGCTATTAGCGAGTATAAGTCTGCTTGGGAAGTGGTATCTTTCAGGTTGGATATCTGCACACATATGATATTTTTGTTTTTGATCTCTTACACTCATATTCACCCCGCGTTTAGAAGGTCTCGTGAATGATTGCCTAAAGCGCATAAGCGTCCCTGTTGTGAAAGCGTCGGGGTTGTATATTATGGTTGGTATCTTTAGGGGACATACTGTGAGGGGGAGACACAAGGGGATGCGTACCTAAGGTAGTAAGACATGACACTATGTAACCTAGGTTAATGTCTTATTACTTCTTATTCGATTAGATAACAAGCCGAGTTGTCGCGTGTCAAGGTAATTACCTAGTATTACTGAAGATTAAAATATAATCTAACTTGGATAAGTGTTTGTGATAAGAGAATAGTTACAGAATGTCATCGAGTAGAATACATTAACCTAGGTTAGATGCCTAACTTAGGTACCTGATCTACAAAACCAATATACTAGGAATTCCTCAGCAGGCTGTATCCCTTCACTCAAAAGCTATATAGTATATAGTGGGTAGTTAGTATTTTCATTACTTAAGTCGACGTCACTTAATAGGGTTTTTGTATACCGAGGTATATTTGACTCATATAGTAAATTATGTGTGGAATAGCACACTCATATTCCGAGTTTCGCTACCTATAATTTTTGCAAATCGCTTGCTTTGCTGTAGGGCTCACGCCCCGTCTAGAGCACCTGAGTGTATCTGCCTCTGATTTCTAGGCTCTACCAAATTCCTCGTCGTGTGATAACCGTTCCAATCTCCTGCCTAGTTGGGCACTCATGCAGGATGAGTCCCTGCGTCTTTTAAGGCGGATCTAAATTTCCGCAATGTGCGCACAATCGTACGTCTCAGGTGTCTGACCCCCCCCCCATTTATGCTGCTCCAAGCTGCCCAATGTATTAAAAAAAATGACCTTCAAGTCCAACGCCGGGCAATGCAATGGTTACCCAACCTATCCGAATAATGCCCCTTCGATGCGTTCAAGAATAGAAGCTGTCCCACTCCTCCCAAATGCGTATCAAAAATTCGCTCGCCTGATGCTGTAAGTGAGGTGTTAAGAAACAAACATGAATCTGTATCAAATCGTAACCTGAGAAAGGAAACGAAATCGACAAGGGTATTTTGGTAATGGTACATAGTATAGAAATAAATTCAATATCAACGTAGCAACAGCTACGCGATGAAAACCAGACTGGTCATATGCATAGTGTATTCTGTTTCGACATAATAATCAAGGAACGCGGCGGGATGCCATGTCGGATGCGCAATATTTGAGCTGACCGTTGATACATTCACTATTCAGGAACGTTCCATCTTTCGTGGACCTAGAAACCCAAACCTGCGAAAGATCTATCCCGTGCCCGTCAAATTGATGTTGCGGGGCTTCACGGTCGTCATGGATTTGATTGATTGGAAGGCCCTGCGAGATAATGCACTCTATGTGCTGTGCATGCGACAATCCAAGAGATACACAATTCGTCGATTTGAGAGGGTGAAATAGACCACTGCCCATCCTAACCCGGTCGATTAATCAAGTCGCTTAGGTCGCGTGTCGAAGTATTCCTCGGCAGTGCCCTTGACTAAGGAGAAGAAAGAGGCAGGTAATACACCCCACTAGCCGTTAACTATGTATCATAGCGTTGTTGACCTTGCACATTCTAGAAAGCCATTGCGGATCCCGTTAGGCTGGCGATGTCGGCAAGATAAAGTAATAAAATGGCTGGGATTCGTGAAGTAGAAGCTAATGCGTTTGTCGGTATTCGCCGGTGACGTAGGATGTGGGACAGAGTCCTTTGTTTTCACCTCCATCCAGTCGTCTTGACCACTTGTTAGCCAAAATTGGTAACCCACAATATCGAACCCTCGAAATTCGATTTACAATCATCTCCACGAGCGTGCTCAAGCGTAGTCATAAATTTTACTAGCCCGATGATCGTAATGTACCTAGTGGCGGTATGCTGATGACGGAAAGTGTCGGACAGAAAATGCCTATTCCTCCAAATTTAGATGACGTCCTGTGAAATTGCAACCCATCTCGCGGGAACACCATCGGGTCTAATCTCGTAGGGTCTTGTTGTAGGCTTTCTTGGCGGCAGAAGCCACCGTGCGTGCCCTTCGCGTTGGTCGTCCAATTTACCGCGCTTGCGCATTAGGTGTTCTAAGACCGCAATTCGAATGAAATCCGAGTTCTCCCGAATTTCCCGCTGGCGAGGGCCTGGTGGAAAGACATACGCGGTCGGTGATTTGTTGGAATTGCCCGTTTGGCCGCCTGAACGACTAGTTGCCGGGGCACTCCTTGATCGTTGCACTTTATAGGTTTGCATCTGAATAGACGCTGTATAACTGCGAAACGTTGACCGTACGCGCGATTCTGGGCGTACGCTAGTCGGATTTAGATAACGACGCATAGCTTCGCTAGGTTCTTCTCCTAAGATGGGAGGCATTCTCTCGTCGGTGAATGGGACTCGTGGGTCGATTGTGAGTATAGATCTAGTAAGAAAATCATCCGGGGGTATCGACGAAGAAGTAAAACTAGATAATGATCGGGCGGCAGAGCGCAATGCACGAAGCGACGCCGTCAAATTCGACTTGAAGACGGATTTAAGTGGCGCGAGCCCAGTAGCCTGTTTCTGCTCAGTTGGGCTTGGTTTTGGAGTGAAAACTCTAAAATCAAGCTCGTCAACGCCTAGATTATTCTTGGTAGAAAGTGGATGTTCTGAATGTTGACCGGGAGGTGAAGACACAGGCTCCAGCGAACGTCTCGGCGGCCGTATCCTTCTCCCGCGTGAGGCAACGGGAGAGTCGATGGAAGTAACCAGACTAGTTCCAAACGAATCGCCTAGGGAGGGTATGCTGTCAAACGATGCCGCGCGGGTTGAGAATGGTGATGCGAATGCGCTATCGCTATTTGACGATACCTCATCCTCGTCGAGCTCGTCCGGCGGGCTGAGCAAAACATCCATCGGGCTGCGACCATAGGATGTGAAGCTGATATCACTCAAATCTTGAGCGAATTCTTCACTCAGTTCCCGGCTTAACTCCTTCTCTGATACTTGAGACCGAGGTACAATCGAGTTTACTGTCATCCGCGAGTCTCTAGACGAGTCCCTAGATTGCCTTTGTCGTGATTCCCCACGTCTTTTAGGTGGGGGAATAGTAGTAATGGCGAGCAATGCCGCCACCGACGGCGGGATAGCATCAGGTGAGTGTACATCTCGAGAGTTTCGATTTGGAGAAGAGTTAGCTCGATGCGCGTGCGCATGTGGTCGCGGCCTGTGCGAGTGCGCGGTGTCATGCTTCGATTTAATGGGGATCTGTACGGCGCTCGAAGGAGTATTTGGTCGCGCGACAACATTTGTCGTTGTCGCACTTGGCGGGCTGCTGCTTGGCGGAGACGACCTGTCTGGCTGTAAACCTTTCCGCTTACCCATGGTTCGCTCTTTTGAGTTTATTCTAGCGTTGACGAACTTAGAAGAGGCGACGTCCTTCTCCGTCGACAGTGCATCCTTTCTCTTTGGTGAAGATGCCTTGTGTGTTGTAGCCGTTAGGGAGGTTGGGGGCACGGTTTGTTTTTGTGAGTATAAAAAGGATCTCGGAACCATCATCATTACTTGAAGTCGTGCTAGAGCCGACTTTTTAAACGGTTCCCGTTACTAAGGAAATATCCGTCACCCTATTATAGCACCTATTACAGCAATCAATCAGTCTGGCGGGGCCGCAGGCCGCAAGGATCGCCAGCGACGTGGATCTAAGTATGATGTTCGCTATGATTCTTTTTTTTCCCCGTCGCGCCCGCCGAATCGGAAACCAGCTACCGCAACTGGAATCGTACGCTAGGTGAGTATTGGATTGGTGGTCGTGTGCAGGCTCCGCCAGGGGTTCACGATTCTCGTACGTAATAGCGAAGTCTCTCGTCGAACGAGAGATGCAGCCCAGATGCACGGCAGGAACCCAGAGACGTGGAAACCGAATATAAAGTATCGATGTCGCTTTTGCAGATCTTTGCAGCTCTCGGGTTTTCAACTGTTACCACCGCTTTACCACCCGTCCTCTCTTAGGCGCATCAGCTCTTCGAGTAGCTGGATTTGGTGAGAATAACGAGGCATTACAGGAAGCACGACGAAAGCATGTAACACGAACGCTTAGATGGGGGCTAGGCTGAGATGGATGGATGACGACGATGACGACAACGCGTATTGTGACGAGAGATTAACTCGGAATTCCAGATGATGTATATGATGTATACGTCTTCTCTCAGGTACTGCGGTGTTCCTTGGTGACCAGGAGTGGTTATTAGGTATTATCGAAGGGGAACGTGATAGAAGATTACGATGATGAAGGAGACAAGGTAGGGAGAATATATTATTATACAGCTATCTGAATGCCTTAGGTACCTAGGTAGGTAATAATAATGATCTAAGAGGACGGGAACAACGGATATTGATGACAGCCAAGACCAGAACGGACTACCTTGCAAGCGAGCCAAGCAGATAACACGGGGGGTGACATCTATCGTGCTGACTTGTCGAGCAGGATTCCGACTGACCCTCTCATCTTGATTTAGTCTTGTAAAAGAACAAAATGTGGCCTGCCTGATTCGGGGGAAAGATAAAAGGGAACAAGTAAGATAAGTCACTTGTTCTAGCTCGAGTCAGGTAGGTACTTCGTAGCGTAGTTCCTTCCCCTAGACATATGGATAGGTACTTACATGTAGGTCTTAGAGTCACGCCAGCTCAGGGACACCTCGTACCATGTATTTCGTACAAGTATTATGTATCTTTTAAAGGGTGGGGTCCGTTGACGTCCAACACATTGGAGCTGAGGCGCTGTAACCACTGGAATGCAGATGCTTGCTGATAAGGCAATGCTACCGAAGTACCTTAATACGTACCTAAAATTGACTAGAAGTGGCTCAGATCCAGAACTTCCGATAGTGCCCAGTATATTGAATCGACGCACATTCTGTCACTTTGTCGCCTTTTACATTTTTGTATGCGCTTAAACATTACAGTCATTGAAAAACCTCAACTCCGATTAATATCCCCCAAAGGGAAAGAAACTCCTTTTTAGATGATCTCTGATGATCTAGGCTATATTCTGTATCCTAAATACAAACACCAAGCCGGGGTTTGTCCTTATGTATGCGTTGTCACTAGACCTCACGTTGCTGAAAGAGTGCGGGTGTGGTAGCTGATCGGCTGATCTGATACCCCTTAACTTATTTACACCTTTGCCTCGTGGGATACCGGATGCCCAGACGTGGTACCCAAGGCATCAAGGCACCCAAGCATCCTGGAAGTACCCCCCATAAATCAACTTCACCGTATTTCAAGCCGCCTTTCCTCGTACGGGGAACCACAGCATGTCTTGCCATCGCCACTTTCCGCCCTTGCAGAACGGGGAGCTTGGGGGTTTGTTGGGGGTAGGACCCTGAATACATATTGACTACATACTAGGCTTGCATCATTACATATGTAGTGAGGCTATTTCCAACCATGGAGACGACAATTTGTCAAGTTGAGAGAAGTCAAGTCGTATTCGGAGCCAAAGCCCGAAAGCGCTATTCCTACTTTGTAGGTTCAATATACATCAAATTTCCCATTGTTGGGGATGCGGAAATCAGGCTGTAGAACAAATGCCTACCTACAAGCTACTCAAAGCCACGTTAGCTATCAGGTTACCTTAATAGTAAGTCAATGTAGCCCATGCTACGTTTGGGTAACATCGTACGGATACTCCATGCAACCATTACTTGTAAGTCAATTTATTAACTACAAGATTCTGTGGGGAACCCTGAGCATTCTCATACATTGAACATTCTCATACATTGAGCATTCTCATATATAGAAATCATGGTCGAAGGGTGTCGGGCTTTGAAGAGCATCCATCATGAGTCATGTCTGCGGTAGATACCGGAGTGTTATATCCACGTAACAAACTCATCTTCCGACAAGACAAATCGCGCTTTGAGCTATATACTGCGATTGGTGCCAAAGTGTCGCGAGTCGCATCCCGCCAACTCATCCATCTAATATGATTACGCAGAGATGCCGAACTACCGCGACCCTGAGCGTACCAATTCGTAGCGGTTCGATACTGCGCGCTATCTTTACTTCATTCTAGGAAATCCAGGGTTTGATGTTCCAACTGTATCTTGCATACCCGTAATCATATAGTGACCCGTAATCATACCTTATGTATCCAATACTAGCACTTCGTTGTAAGTAGAAGGTAGAAGACCAGCTGCAACATTATAGACACCATCTTACATCATACGCGCGAACAAACGGTCTTTATAGAGACTAACTGGTCAATGGGGAATTGGCCTAATGCATCTCAAACTCCATATTGCATAGTACAATTCAACAGCCCTTTCAGTTCAGCCGTATTCTTATCAAGACATCCTAATTCGTTCCCCCGCATACTACATTAGCAAACCAACCTTCATATGCGACACCCATACGCCATAGTAGCGTAGGTGGATCCTCATCGCAAAATTTAACATCAATTGACATTAATCAGCGCCCACGCCTTGGATCTCGGACTTGTGACTGTCTTGTCTGAGACTTTACCAATAGTGCGGGGGAGGATTACGAATGAGCAGATGGACATAGATAATAACTCTAAATAGCTTACCGATCTGGGGACCCCGGAATTCGTCTAGCTGATCCCTCTCGCTACTGTAAGACGCCATCGTTCACGATGCCTTTAGACATCAAAAGCCATCGGGACAGAGACAGATTCGACAACTAATGCACTAGCAAGGTCCCGTTACCAAACCAGGAGACCCTATAGCGCAAGATGACGTTGTCAGCTTAAGCTAGTAGGGGCGCTTCTCCGCGGGACGCTAGATACCTCCTACATAGAGGTCTACTCCAGACATCGGCTAGACTCTGCCCTGTAGATCATACATCGATCGCCAAAGGAAAACTAGTCTAAAACGCAAATGCAGCACAAAGACGCCTTCGAGTTTGGCTTATCTATGCTACGATTATATTTATCGGAGGGGTGGTAGTACAGCATAACAGCATAAAGGTATGACATTTAATTATACGCGCGGTATTTCCAAATGGCTGGATATACTATATGTATAACTGGGGGAGCATGCGTCGAGATCAAGCAAGCCATCTCAAGCGCCACTGTCACAAATTGCAACGTTTCTGTTTGTTTGTTAGACCTCTGAGCAACCTCTTTCTATATATTGCCCAGACTGCCAGGATCGTTTGATGTCGCGTGGAACATGACATAGATAACACTTTCACTTATAAAAGTTGACAGAATTCAACATCTAACACTCACCTTTAAATCAGGTTCTCGGGTTCAAACCTCTATCAATACTGGGTCCGTACATACATAGTATTGCAGCTATTGTGGCGCCGTGGGCTTGTTATGCGATACCTGCCTGGTTGATCCTATCAGGGGTGCTCCCAAAGTCCTTATAAACCAGGTACAGTCACCGATATAGATACACAGTATACATATGGGGATTTAAGTCAATAGAATAGAAGACATGTGAAATCAACGCGCATTGGGCATTAATTACCATGGCAGTATGGTTAAGCAAGATGTTGCTCGCACTCGTGACACTTGTTTCTTGATTTGTTTCTTGATTTGGCTATCATTAGAGTGTTTTATCAAGAGAATTAATCTAGAAGAAGACTAACTTAACTACCTGTTATAAAAAGTACAGCTTTTACGATAGTTAGTAATAAATATAACTATATAAAAATGAAATGTCTGGTCTAGTCAATTCACTCTCTTTATTTCATCTCATCGTGATGTAGCAATTAGTATTGGTATCGAGAGTAATGATGGTACATAGTGAGATTGTTGTCAGTATCTAAGATTATGCTTATGAGATTATACGAATTTTCTCATTTTCTTTATGTTTTGCAGCCATTATATTATACCTACCTATGTGCTGAATGTGTAAGATAGAATTGGCAGAGTGAGCAGCCGACGTAAATTCTGTCAGCTGTTGAGAGTACGTACCTAATAAAGGTATGTGTTGATGTACCTATGTACTTATGCATCTTGAGCAAGTACAAAGCTGTCAAGCCGTCAAGCCGTTAAGCCGTCAAAATGCCAGCACCGCAAAGTTTAAATCTAAATGCAAAACGCAAGCAACACATCGACCCAGAAAATCTAACCTGGTAAACCCCAGGAATCCAATGCGATAAACAACTCTCTAACCCCCGCTACCGCTACCTTGCGAACTCTTCTTCAGACGTACAATGGCGGCCCCAGACACCTCTTCGTTTACCAACTCGGCCCAGGTCTTCGCCGCCCACACCTTACCCCAGATCCGCGCCATTCACAAAAGCCTCCACGTCCAGATCGACGAGAAATCCGCGCGCCTGCGCACCCAGGTCGGAAATAGCTATAGGGAGTTGCTAGGAACGGCAGACACTATCGTGCAGATGCGGGGGGACATGCTGGCCGCCCAGGATATCCTAAACCAAATGGGCGGTATATGTGGGCGCACCATTGTCGGCGCAAAGGTCTCGGGACTGAGCAAGTTTCGTGGCAGGGAGGACGCCGAGGCGCAACTAAGCCAGATCGCGAGGGTTAAGTTGTTGAATGCGTGCGGACTTGCTGTCGGGCGCCTATTGAAGCAGAGTGGAGAGGGCAGAGGAGATCGGTTGGTTCTAGCAGCTAAGGTCCTCGTCTTGAAACGGTTGCTAGTCTCGAGCTTCGGATCCGATAACGATGTTAGCGAGGATATTCGGGCCATATTTGAGGGAGCAAAGAAGAGTCTGAGTAGCTTGCGGA